GTCTTTCGAGAGTTTTTAGATAATTTTGTTGTCAATTACCTAGATGACATCTTAATCTATTTAAAGAACATAGAAGAATATGAACTTCATGTTCATCATGTATTATAAAAACTAAGAGATGCGGGACTCTATGCTAAGTTAAAAACGTGTATATTTCATACTAGTTAAATCGACTTCTTAGAATATATCATTTCAAATGATAGACTTATGATAGATCCTAACAAAATTCAAGCTGTTATGAATTGGAAGATCCCAAAAATGGTAAGAAATGTCCAATATTTTTTAGAATTTTTCAACTACTATCGGATCTTCATTTAAGTTGCAGCTCCACTTATACATTTGACTATAAAGACAAACTTCAATGGAATGAAGAAATAGAAGTAACATTTTAAGCTTTAAAGACAACCTTTGTATCTGCACCAATCTTGTATCGCATTGATTTTTCTAAGCCATGTTTTACGGAAATAAACGCATTAGACTTTGCTTTGGGTGCCATATTATAAAAAATAGAAATAGATGATAAACTTCACTCAACATTTTTTTAATCTAAAAAATTTTTAACAACCGAGATCAACTATGAAATCCACGACAACGAACTTCTTACAATTGTAGATTTGTTTCAAGAATGGTGCCATTATCTAGAAGGTACTTCTAGCCCAATCACCGTATATACGGATCACAAGGACCTTGAATATTTTATGTTTGTACGTTTTTTGAATCATCACCAAACCCGTTACAGTATGTCTATGTCAAGATTCGAATTCAAGATTTCTAGCAGTAGGATATTTTGTGTACAATAAAACTTTGGAACTAATAGCCAAGGACTTTTGGTGGCCCCCAATGTAGAAATTAGTCAAAGATTTTGTACAATCTTATGATGTTTATTCAAGATCAGAAACTCCTCGTCATCGACCTTATTGACTTCTTCAACCATTAACCATTTCAAAACAATTATGGTCTTTTCTTTCTATGGATTTCATCACAGATCTTCCAATCTCAAGTTCTTATGACTCTATATTTGTGATAATAGATCGTTTTACCAAGATTGCACATTTTGTACCATGTATAAAATCTATCACAAGTGAAGAAATGGCTAAGCTCTTTCTTGACAATATCTATTGTTATCATGGATTACCCAAGGATATTATATTAGATAGGAGAACTCAATTTGTATCAAGATTTTGGCGGACTCTTTTCAAGATTCTAAAAGTGGATATAAAACTATCTTTAACATTCTGTCTTCAAATTGATGGACAAACAAAGTGTGTTAATCAAGTTTTGGAGCAGTATTAATGATGTACCATTAACTACCAAGAAGATGATTGGACAACTCTTATGCCATTGGTAGAATTTGCTTATAATAACACTGTAGATTCTTCTACAAAAAAGATATCTTTTTTTGCCAATTATGGTTATCATCCACGACTTAATACTTTTGACTTTTCAAAAGTTGATAATTCTGCTACAAAAGATTAGGCTATTCATTTATCACAGTTACATGCAATGATGAAGGTGAAGTTAAAAGAAGGTCAAGAACAACAAAAGGTCAATGCGGATGTCTATCAAAAGGAACGATGACCATTCTATATGGGAGATAAGGTATAGTTATTTCGTTGCAATATCAAGACCACTTATCCTTGTGACAAGTTTGACTATCGAAGGCTTCGACCATTTTCTATTTCTGCACAAATCAATCTAGTTGCATATTGTTTACACTTATTACAGTCAATGAAATCCATCTAGTATTCTATATGTCTCTTGTTGAACCATACAAGATTGTAGACATACCAAGAAGAAGACAAGCTCCACCTCCTCTTTTAGAAGTGGATAATAATGAAGAATTTGAAGTAGAAGAAGTCTTAGATTCAAGGCAGCGGGGAAATAAATTAGAATATCTTGTCCATTGGCTCAGATATGATATTAGTAAACGCACATGGGAGCCAATAAAGAATCTTACAAATGCAACAAATACGGTGGAAGCTTTTTATCGACGACATCTATCAAAATGAAGATGAAAACCTTTTTTATAAAAGAAATAAGATCAAAGCAAGATAACATTCTACTTTCAATCTTTGTTTGTAGCATTTTTGTAGTTGTGACGGTGGAGAGATAGAGAACCAACAACCAGTAGATTCAAGTCAAGAGCCTTTATTTACTTACCCGCAGGATGAGACATTATGATTGTCACAACCTTCAAGTCGACGTAATTGAGATGAAGATCCTCAAAAACGACATGTTCTTCTTCAAATAGATGGCAAGATACAATTCGTTTGGTATTATGACCTTGGAAGAGAATCTCGATGTTTGGTGATTTTACTAGAGGTAGGAACAATTCGTGACGCTATTCCAAATGTTTTATTCGAAGGAAGTTATGAAGGCATTAACTACGATCAAATAACTGGGTGGTCTTCCTGCCCTGGTATAGAACACTACCGATGGTTGAGAGGCCCTATAAATCATCTTTGAAGAGAACAAAGATCAGAGTATGTGGCGAATACAATTTGTTGCATCATAGGTTTCTTCAATATATGATAACCGCTCCTTATGGAACTCGTTTCTAGAAAGGAGGGTAATGTCACGGACATACACAGGTAAATCAATAATTACATGTATAAATATTTAGAAGTAAGTAAAAGTAGATAAAAGTAAGTTAATTCTATAATATATGCTATGGAAGCTTCTTAGAAGCTTTATAGATGTTGCTTTGATTTTATAGGTATCTTTAATTGACTTTTTGGATTAGAAACATGGTCAATAAGTTGGCCATGTGCCACACATGTTGTTAGCTTGAAGACCAAGCTAACTTTGTGGCCTACATATACAAAAACTTGCCTTGTAAGTCAAGGCATATGTCCTACAAAGTCAATATATATTGGAGGTCCTATAGAACATCGCCAGGTAGCCCTTAGTTACATAATATATATAGAGATAAGAGTGAAGCCTTCACTTTTGTCAACTCCTTTCTTGTTTCCAGTCTAATTTCAAGGATCTCGAGTTTTCTTGGCTTTTGACAATAGCCAATGTAGTTTCTTTTTTAATATACATATCAAGTTATTTCTATTCATTCATCTTTTTTTAAGAGAAGTCTCAATTTTTTATTTGTCTTTATCATGTTCTTGACCTTGACACACGATCACAAATTCGACCCCTCCTTCTAAAGGATGTTGTGGTTCCAAACTTTTGCCTTTGATAAGGTGTAGTAAAAACTTGTACTTAATCTATTTCATAAGGTTTTTGTTTGTTTGTGGAGTTTTTTTAAAATACTTTTTATTAATAATAGTAATTAATTAGAACTTGAATGAATCATTATGATTATATATACTTTGATTTGAGAGCATTTGTTTTCACATAGTTCCACCAATTTTAGTACAAAATATTTATAAACTCTGTCCTACCAATTCAATTGATGTTTTGAATTTCAAATATTATATCTAGTTTTATGAGAAGTAATTATGAAATATTTTAATAAGTCATAATATACATGAACCAATTTAATTGTCTTCTTTAATATACATATATGTAAACCCAAATAGATTATTGTTGATTATATAGGGGTGATATTTGAAACAAATTCAAAAGATACATTAATTTGAAAATTTTAATAGATAAATGAATCATTTAAATTTAAATTTTGGATTTTTTTGTTATCTTAGAGAAGGAGAATTATAAAATTCATTAGCTGGTACAATAAGAAGGGATGTTATTTCTCTCTACTTTTTCAAATTTCTATTAAAATATTTCATAAACTGCAAGGTCATTTAGCAATTGCTGGAACCTTCATAGTGGTGACTTCTTTATATTTATAAAATTTGATATCATTAGAATCATACAAAATGTTCATACTTGTATACATAAAAACTTTATGTTGAAGAATTTATCTTTATTTATGTCTTTTACAATAAAAAAGTGATGATAAATTGACAATAAAAGTAAATATGATTATTATGTGAAATAAAATTGTGTAAGCTAACAATCTTTAACATAAAAATAATTATACAAATATCTTTTAACAAACCAATTAGTAGTTGTAAAAATCTAATTTATGCTAAAATAATAAATAAAAATAATTAAAATCAAATACTCATTAGACACAAAATCTATTTACACATGACATATAAAGGATTAATAACAAATAGCTACTATTCAATGTTGGTAGTACTATTAGAAATACTGATATACCAATTTTTTTAAAAAATCAGATTCTTTGTAACATTAATAAAAAAAAATTGTTATAAATATAAAAAAAATGTATGGTAGCAAAGCTAAAATTTAGAACATAATGCAAGCAACAAAATAAAGATTTTATAGATGGCATGTGATTATATATATATATATATATATATATATATATAAAAATTGACAAAATAAAGATTTTATAGTTGATATGTGATTATATATACATAAATACATGTATTAACAAAAAAAAACTTAAGTCACTGTTTAAGAACTTTAAAATTTTAAGGATATATGTATATTTAGCCAAGACCTTAAAATGAGTCTTTTTCTTTAAAATACCTGAATGTTTGAATTCAATAAACAATCTTAACTAAAAGTAAACAAGACAAGTCTCATTGAGAGTATTGAATAAGTTTATTTTAATCAATTATAAATAGATAAATAAATAACACCGTTATTATTAATTTTTATTTTAAATAACCTAAATCAAAACTAAGATAACTTTTCCATACACTTGATAAAGATAAGGGAACTAATACTTCAAATTGACAAGTACTTATATTCTAAAAAACTGAACAAATGAACAAAAATCCAAAATGTAGTTCCACTTTCCAGTCGTGGAAAAAACTACTCAGACAAAGCAAACAAATAAGTAAATAAATAAACACCGGCAATGTTAAAAAAAATCAAGTACCAAAAAACAAAAAAGAACAAACCAAGAATAAATACTACTTGTCCAAATGCAACACAGAGAATACTTTAGGACTTCTGAATCCAAATTTTCGTAACAAACCAAACAGACATGACACCCAGAATATAGAACCTGCAATGAAATCTCCATTCTCTTAATGGAAATTGTAAATCAATTTTCACACAAGGCAACCTTCATGCATCACATCGGAGGCCTTGACATGCACCCACTACCGACATGTCCAAAAAGGCCAGAGTCCACAACCAGAGTCAGTCAATTGTTGACACTGAGCAGTTCCGTGACGAAGAATTCGATGCAAACTGAGAATCCATCGAAGTAAACTGATGCTCAAATCATGAGGATGCACCCATCTCAATCCAACCGAGCTACACACACAGATTCAACACACAAGCGTGAACGATTTAGAACACGAGCAAGCTGTGCAAAGGTGTGGTTTTTCTAGTCTGCATTTTTGTGCTACCGACATGGTTGTTGTGCGAGGAGCCATCACACGGATCCACGCCACAAGTTCACGATGAGAGTGAGCGAGTGAGTGAGTGAGATCCCCGCCCTCATATGCCTTCAACTCGTTTTGTCCAGCTTCTTCCCAATGCGTATAAACTGGCGGCAGAAATGCATCACCCCTTTGCGCTTGGAGTTGGTGCAGTCGGATCTGGTGCTTGCACTGCGAGTCAAGTCACCGACATCGTGCTGGCGGCAGGAATAGTCTTGCACAATGGGTGGTGAGGCTCGCCTACAGGAAACACAATCCAGGATTGCTTGCCTCACCCCATACTTCTCACTGCATGCTCTTGCTATGGCCGTTGTAGTACCCTCATGGAGCCTGTGCTCTCGCATAGATGCTGCTTTCTTCATCACGGAGTGAATGTGGTGGTGATCACCGACGTTGAATCCTGTTTCACCGCCGGAGCTTGTCAGTAGGTCTGATGACCTCAGGCGGTTGTATCTCATGGATTGGGAACCAGTCAGTGGATGTCGTCGTCTCCCCGTTTTCGTCTGCGCATTCTACTGGAGAGCCGAAGCGACAACAACAACCACCACCACCACCACAACAACATCAGATTCTCCCTTGGGTTGTGTTTTCGTGATTGCAAGGGGCGTATGACGGATATTAGCCATCCCTGCGTCTCTCGCAGGAAGGTATTTCTTTGAACTGACGGCGGGGTGAGGTGCAGATGGTCGTTACCGTTGTCTGGAAAAGCGTGCACTGTCGGACAAGATGTTGACGACGCGTGATCGGTGAGGGCGTTTAGCCACTCTTGACTGGGAGCGTTTCGCAGTCAAGGTTTTCTCTCGATGGACGCTGAATGTGAAGGTGCAGTGGTTGAATCTGTCCGCGGCTTCTCCTCCTGCGACAGTCTACCCGATGGAGATGGGGAGAGAGGATCACGGAAGGAGTCCAGACCCTGTTCAGCCTCGTCCCACTGATCGTTTGTGCTCACTGAGCCCCACCGCGCACTCAAGGACGTCGTTTCCGCTGACCCCCATCGCCCACTTCCTGCAGATTTTTTTAACTTCAAACTTGAGCATTGGTAGTACCAACCATGTCAATTGCTCGAATAAGAAAATTTTATTCTCTCTAGATTGCAACTACTAGCTTCCCCCAACCTTAGCAGTCCATCCGGTGAATGAGACACTGGAACGTTCAAGCATCTTGGGGTAAGAAGTTCTCCAGTGACCGTGAAACTAAAGAAATCCCTTGAGAAAACCCAGGAAAATGGCGCAGTTCTCTATTGTCTTGGAGGCTTACCAATCTCAGAGCAATGAGCTCTTTACACAAGATGTTGCATTAGCCACTGGTAATAAACTTGAATGGTTTCCTTAAAAGCGGAAGACGAGGCATACTCAAAACTATGACCTTTCCCCTGCTTGATGCCGCAAAACTTGTGATAATGGCTAGCAGTCAAGACATCCGAGGGCTGTACCCAACAGGACCACGAAATTTGGTGATGAGGAGTGAAGCGAGAAGGAAAATCATCTCACCTTCAGGATCCTGGGAATCACACTTGCCGTCCTGTGCATCGTTGGGCCACCTCTCACTCGAAGATCGTGACCGGATATCGTCATTAGCAGTCCCAACTTCACACTGCTCGTTAAATCTGCGAGACCCGGCATCCTGAGACGCGGCCAGCATTTTCAAAGCTTCGGTCAAATCGCTGGGGAAAGGCGGGCCAGTTGCGGATGAGCCCACAGGCTGCGTGGGCCGCATATTGGGCGAGGAGTCTCGTTGAGGAAAGGCAGATCTCTCTGATAGCCTCCATGGAGACTGCGCAATGTCATCGTCGACAGAGTAATCCTCCGGACTCCCATTGTACAACACATTGTCACATTCCGCACAATCCTGCCGAAGCCTCGCATACCTCTTCATGTTTTTCGAAGCGTAGTCTTCACGCCCTCTTTGTGAGAGCTTCTTCGAATCCTCACCCCGAGGTTCATGGGTCAACCTCACGTGCCATTCCAATATTTCAGTGCTACAAAACCGCAAGTCAGAGCCATACCGCTAAGGAAATCACCTCTGAAGGGTTCCTATCGATGAGCAAGACCAAAACCATCAAACTCTGATCATATCAAACCCGAGGCTACTAAAAACGGGTTTGAAGTGGATCCTCTCATCGTCAGGATTGAGAATCTCGCTCAATCGGCATTCCATTCGCAGACCGTGTGCATAATCGACCCGAACCCAAGATCAAATGCGAAGCGGAGACATTTCCATGCCGCAGAAGCTGCACTAACTCCGCAGGCTTTCACAACGCACTCGCAACAGAAATTGGGCATCAACAAGGCTGTTTGGCAACCACCAACCCCTTGGCTCTGAACACAGACATCACTGAAAGCAGTCGTGGAGAGACACATTGATGACAGCCCCGTGTCTAAGGTCGTTCCAAACCGATTACAACCCAAGCACGCGCCAGCACGCATGAAGAAAACCCACAACAGAACGCAGGACGAAGAAGGAAACGTGATCCAACTCAAGTGCATCACCCCCACACGAGGCTAAAGATCGTCCCGGTTCATGCTCCTCATCAATCGACAACGCTAACAGCTTGCAAGCGGCGCATTCAAGATAGCGGAGGCAAGCAAAAACCCAATTTTAAACCAGATCAGGGATCCTCTAGGATTCATTCCCTACTCTCGGGCTCTTCTAGCTACGATCCTTACCATAGTGAACTCCCCTACACAGACAATTCCAAATCCGGGTTAACTAACCCCTCTCCCCACTGTGGCAATCTGATCAGAGACACCACCAGCGCTCAATACAAACAGACTCCAGCTCCGGACACACCGTCCGAGCCATGCCAAGAGCATTATGACCCGGCGGGTGTTCCCCGTCCATCCCTCCTTCGCTCCGAAAATCTAGATCGATCTGCAACTTGTTCACCTGGATTCCGTAACAACCCAGCTCTGGCTCGGGATCTTCATTCTACAACTGAACCACCTCGGTGACCCATATCGACAACTACCAGACTAGTTGAAGCTAGAATCCACACATTCCAACTTGTCGACCACTGTGCCAATTCTTGCCTGAGCTTGGCCACCCATTCACACACATACACACACAAACAGAACTATCTGTATATAACACACACACACACACACGCATGCACACACTCACCCACACATCAGCGAGCGAGCGAGCGACCGAGTGAGAAAGCATGCAATCAAGCTAGAATTCTGGGGATGGTGAATGGTGATGGTGAATGAGACACGCCCACATTGATAGTGAGCTTTTTGAATCTGATCAGGTGCTGCTATCCAAAGATTCATGCCAAATATGGCGAAGCTGGAGGGTGCAACCACATTGGCTGCGTCTTAAACGGGGAGTATTAGGGTGTGAGTCTTTTTGCAGTTCTTTGATGAATGCTTTGTGGGATTTCCACACTCTGTGCCCCCACATTCTCCGTCTCAATCCTCAATTTTTGTTTAATGTTGGACACTTTCTCACACTTGTCCATACAATTTATGGAGCATAAAACTAACACCGAGTTCCTCTTTTTTCATGTTTAGGGGCTTTCTCGCTTTCTTTCAGCTATTGCTCTTTCTTTTGAACAAAGTAAGCAAATGCAATATGCTTAGTTGTGTTTGGCTGATGTAATGGTTTTGGTTTCATGCGTTTTGAAGTGGGAGGTTGTTAGGGGATTCTTAGATGTGTTTGGCTGATGTATTGGTTTTGGTTTCATGCTTTTTGAAGTGGTACGTTGTTAGGGGTTTTGGTGTATTTATTTAGAAGTTGCTTCAATGAGTTTGATAATCTATATGCTCTCTCTCTCTCTCTCTCTCTCGCTATATATATATATATATATACATATGTGTGTGTATGCATTTATTTTTGCATAAGTGTGAGTTATTTGGTTTGACTTCTTACTACATGTTTTGAAAGTTGGTTGTAATGTGCATTATTATTTGAAAATAAAACAACATGTGTCATTTTGCTAAAGTTATATACTATTACCATTAAAAAATTATTATCACTTTATAAAAAAACTATTTTAAAAAGTGTGCAAATGTAGTAGTTCCATCCTTGTTCCAGCGACATCACTGTGTGGTGTACACTCAGCTAGAAGTTCAGGGCAGATCAACAAAGCTTCAGAATTTGAGTCTTGCAATTGAATCAGAGCATGATTGTAAGCAAAAATTCAAAAATCGCAATTGAAGATTGATAAAAAATCAAAACATAAAAATCAAAACAAAACAAAATGTAAGAATGGAGATAAAAAACCACATCGTCAAAATCTTTCCATCCTCACCACCTTTGTGATCCAACAATGACAAAAGTGAGTTGAAATTCCCACACCAAGGAGGTGCTTGTATTTACCTTATCTTGACATTAAATAGAATGTCAATAAAAAATAGTAAAATTATTGTAGTCGAACATTAATGTGTTGGTTAGGAGGAAGTAAAACAAACAATTATTAATACTAAGATAAGTTTGGAGCAGTAGTCGGGTGAGAGAGATTAAACTCATTGGTAAATCCAAGCTATGAGAAAACATCTTAAATTGTCTAGTCTACTGAGACTAAAAATTACATTGTCATATGGAGTGATTTGCTATTTGGAAATATAGCAGGTATCTAACTATAGAGAGTTCAGCTTAAATTTTTATATAAATTTTATCTTAGCTTCCAAAACTTCTTTAATTTGCATAAAACTCAAAATATAACAAAATATATTTTTTTTGCAAAAGATTTTTTCTTCTTGAACTTTAGAAATTCATAACTCTTGATTCAACCATTCAATTTGTCTCAAATTTATAGGATAGGTAGAATTCACCCTTAAGTTTTATCACAAAAAAAACCAACTACAAATTCACTCCCAATCTTTTGATATCTAAGAATCCCTAGTAGATGCTCTAAACCCTAATTTACAAGCACATGAGCACTAGTTTCTTAATATCTCAAGAATCCAATATTAAAATGTCATCAAACTTATGTATAAAGTTTATTAAGATGAATTTACACATTCCTTGAAATTTTGAGCCAAAACCTTGTCAAATTGCTCAAGATATTGCTCAGGACACAAATAGTAGTAAATTGGTTCACTTACTACCCTTAGATTGCATGCATTGACTTCAAAATCCAATAACTCCTTCACCCTAAATTAGAATCCAGAAAGAAATATGCAAAAAGTGTAGCTGCAAAAGTATTCTCTTCAATCACAGTTGCCGATCCTCAATTGCCTTCTATACGCATGCGTTATGTCAAAAATAGTGACAATAGCTCCAAAATCAACACCTTAACTTTGAGCGCCTATATCTCCTTCATATAAACTCCAAATTATACAAGATTTGTATCAAAACCATAGCCAAAAACCTAAACTTACTGGTCCTTGCCTTTAAAGCTCAAATGGATTCCCAAAACTAACCCTTATCTCTAATATGGCCTCGGGCAGCCTCCTCAAAGCCTATTGGTCATGATTTTTGACCAATAGGAATGGAGATTTTCATCATCCATCTCCATTCATCTATATGGATTCCCTAAACTCTCTTTGCTACTAATATCCTTCTTCAATCCTTTTTCTTGTAAGATTTACATAATTTATGCTCTAATCACCAAATAAAAGAACCAAAATAAGTTTTCAAAGGTCACCAATGTCTAATAAAGGTGATTCTAAATATTTAGAAGTTACTATCAATCAAAACCAATCTTACAAGCAACTATCAAAAGAAATTAAAGTTATATAAATTCTATAATAATCTTTTTAAACAACTTCTTTTCAAAGTAGTAATTTAACCATATTCTACAACTAACTATAATCTAGTAACATGGCTCTCTTCATGTTGTTAAATAAATTATACATTAAATACATAATCATATTATTTTCACATGGTAGTCGAACCACAATATGACAATATGCGAGCAGTAACACAAGCAACAAGAACCTTTCATATGGTACTCCAGATACATTTGGACCGAAACAAGTAAAGAGATGGTGAAACAATACATTCATATACAAATAGGGCACCAAATTGTGAAGTCTTTTGGAGTCAATAGACTTAAAAATGATCTTTTGTAGGAAAAAAATTCTATAGATCAATCCCTCGACAACTTGAATTAAGATAATTAGTTTGTATATAGGGCTTGCTGTGAAAATAGATCATAGAAATTCAAATATGCTTAAAATATATCATCTATTCTTAGCTGCGACATTCTAACTAGTGAAGGTATTTAGAAATCAATACCATATTTTATGTATTGAAACTTAATTGTGGACTTTTCTACTAAAATTGACAGCATCAAATTGCAGTTCAAAAATTTTAATTTCAAATATAGAGTATGAAGTTATTACCACGTCTATATTAGAGATAGTAGTGAAGATTGGCTCACCCTATTATGTGCGTCAAAGGTCCAGCCATACAGATGTGCTAACACATGACACAATTATTGATACCAATTACTTGCAATCTGAATTTTCACGATGTAAAATCCATAATGATCGCATTATTACTATAAAGTCTGCATAACTCCTAGTATCATTCTATTGAACTGCTTATTACTCAATTCTTTAAATAAAATACTTAAACTCAGCTTAATGACAATCCAATGAAAGAATAAGCTCTGATTGAGATCTTCACAATAGGATTGTGTCAAAAGAAATTTCATTGACCATCATGCGTGGTTAACTTTCTTGTTTGATTTCACATCAATAAGAGAGTTGCAAAAGCGAGTGAGGTCAAAACAAAAACCTTCATTTAGAAGAAGAAACTCAGAGACTTGCTTAGTAAACAGTAGTTGAAGCTAAGATCTTGTTATCTGAGGAATCAAACAATGATTAATCTATTAATTTAGTTCTATTTTATTTTTTATTGTTTTTTTTTCACCACTTTATTATTTTTTTGATTTGATTTTTAGTGAGAATGTATTTTTTGTAGATAAGATTTTGATCAGTATACATTCGATGAATCCATCACTATTTCTTTTAAATGTTAATAATTATGAAATATATTTATTTGGATTGCAAATTTCTTGGCAAAGGCCGCTCGTATTTCCGTAGCAATTACTAATGGTATTTTGGAAGAAATTAAACCCCCAAATATAACTCAGATAAGACTTCCATGTGGAAACCACAAAGAAGTATGAAAGAGTATGAATGAGATGAACATCCATTTTGAAACAATGCATCTGGAGATATAAACATAGTTCCAAAAGATATCCCTATTGTATACAATTTTGTCTAATTTCTTTCAATAACAAGGTTTGTTAATAACTATTATTATTATACTAAAAAACAATGTGTAAATGCAGAAATCATAATTTTAATGGCATTGTTAGATACAAGTTTCCAAAATTAAAAAATACACGAAGGATAGTAATTAATAAATCTTCCAAATTCTTTGAAAATTTTAATATGTATATACACATCCAAATATTATATAAATATTTGACTATTGTGATATATAATAGTTTTGTATTTAGCTTCGAGAAATTTCAATAATTTCAATATTTTTTTATATTTTTTTTTCTATTCTTAGATTATAATTGTGATGAATAATCAAGTAAACACATCGTTATAATTACATGAAATGCATGATGTTGGCTGTCTTTTTTCCAATCTAATGACAATACATAGTTATGTAGTACAAGGAATTGCTAGGCTATGCACACTCAAATCATGTGAAAAGAGATATGAATGGCTTTTGCAACTGTGACCAGAGAAAACAAACCTCTAAACCAAACAAAAGTACTTGCTTTGTCAAGGTCTTGTAGTGCCTACTTGTCCAAAATAAATTGTAAAACAAATGGTTATGCAATGGCACTAAGTATTTGAGAGCAACTTGAATGCATATCATCAGTTAAGATAATTATTGTATTAATCACATCTTCATACAATTTATCTATTTAAGCACAATTTTCATGCACAACACTTTTGTCGATCAAACACATTCGCCTCATTGTAAACATAATGGAAAGATTAAGTATACTAACTTGTCATGGACATACTCATGTAAGCTAGTAATTACATATATAAATAGATAGAAGTAAGTAAAAGTAGGTAAAAGTAAGTTAATTTTATAGTATTTAATATGGAAGCTTCCTAAAAACTTCATAGATGCTACTTTAACTTCATAAGTGTCTTTAATTGACTTTATGGATTAGAAACGTGGTCAACAAGTTGGCCATGTACCATACATATTGTTAGCTTGAAGATCAAGCTAACTATGTGGCCCATACATAGAAAAACTTGCCTTGTAAGTCAAGGCATGTGTTCTACAAAGTCA